AAAGAAAGAAAAGAAAAGGAAAAAACAACGATCTTTAGCGGTCGGCCCGTTCACCGTGAACGGCCGTTCACCAAAAAACACCAAATGAACGGCCGGTCACGTTCAAGTGACCGGTGCCGGTCACGTTCACGGGTCCGACATTGGTTCATGGAGATCAGCGAAGCCTGTGCGCCTCATGTGCAGCGGCAGGTGGCGTTTTACAGGGAGCCACTACAACCAGAGTAGATCGTCGCGTACGCACTGTATAGGTGGGCTACAGGAGAGTCTTACGAGAACAACACATCATCCTTCGGCATGGGCAGGACTCTCGGAGTTCGAGCCGTGCGCGATGTGACAGCCGCTATGTTGAGGGTGTACGTGGACAAGATATCGTGGCCGACGGGGGTGCGGAAACACGTCGTGCTACGGGCGTTTCTGGACAAGGGCTTTCCAAACTGCCATGGCGCAGTTGACTGCACACACATCTACGTGGACAAACCGGCGAACGCGCCGAGCGAGAACTACTTCGACCGCAGGCACCGTTTCTCCGTCATTGCGCAGGTGGTGGTGGACCTGGATCTGCGCGTGCTTGACGTGTTCGTTGGATATCCGGGGAGCTGCCACGACATTAGGGTGATCCAGCTGTCAAGTCATCGCCCTCCCACTTTTCATCTCTTCTTCCTTTGTCGCGGCGGACGTCGTCGACCCTGTCCTCGGCTGCACCTTCGGCGAGTCCGCTTCTACTGCTGTGGTCCGCCGCCGCCGTCCGAGTGCCGCTCGCCGTCGCATCGCCCTTTTGCCTGGACTGTGTTTTCCCTCCCCCTGAAGTCCCCGTCTGTTGCAGGGTGAGTGGCTGGCGTGGCTGGCCCTGGCCCACCACCGCCGGAAGTTGCCTCGGCACGCGTACCTCCGTCATGACAACCCCTGCCGCCTTCGGGGTCCTTTGCAGTGCCCCGGCAGCACCAACAACGAGGCTCTGTTTCAGAGCGGACAACTGTTCCCTCGACACCCCATCCCGCCCGAAACCCAATCGCATCGCCCCTGCCGTCCCTTGCGCATCCACCATCACCACTTCGTCTGGCTGAAAGTCTTCAGTGTGTTCGGAGCTCGCCTCACCAACGCGCTGCCTTTTCGACTTTGGCACGTGGCCTCTGCCTTTCTGGGTTTCCCCCCCGTCGCCTGCTCCGCTATCTTTCCTTCCCTTCCCTGAGGCGTTCCTCGGGGCCATCTCGTCCGCAACTCGGCAACGATGAGCACGTGGACGAAGGAGCACGTGGACGGTGGACGCGTGGAGGTCGACGACGGCCACGTGGACGAGGGAGCACGTGGACGATGCGCCCGAAGGGGCACTGGCCAGAAGCCGCGACGATGATGGCGAGCAGAAACGAGCACGTGCTTGTCGGGCTTGAAGGGGAACTGCCCGCGGAGCCCAAAGCTCGAGCGTGGAGCGGCGAAGCGGAGGTGCAGGCGTGCGGCGACGAATCAGTGCACAGACGCTACCGTTGGAGCCGTGGGAAATGAAGTACTGCCGTATGGACTGCCGCCCGGACTGTGCTCTCGCCGTACACCATTGACACGCCTTGCCGTCCACAACAGCCCGCCCCTTCGCCGATCGTACACGGACCGTTCTTCCCGAAGGCTTTTGGTGATCCCTCGCATGGCCAACAATGCGTGTGGGCATGCACGAGGACCCTGGTGGAGGTCGAAAGAGCCCGGCACGCATCCTTCGTCCGCCACGCCCTAAAACTCGAGGCACCCCTGTCCTCCATTTTCCCCTCCCGCCCGAAAAACACACCCTGCCACCTATTCCTTCTCCGACACCCCCGGAAAAAAAAACCAGGTACATCGCCATCCACGCGTGGCGGCAACGCCTCACAACAACAGGCGTTAAGCAATATTCAAAATCAGACGTCCTAATGTGAAACCGAAGGACGCGCCGACAGGCATGACAACAATCAATACCCTTCACACTCATCAAACAAATCCTTGCTTAAAAAAAAAAGCGCTTGCAAAAACGACCTGTCGTCTCTACACAACCTGCCCACCACCGCACTGCAGCACGCAGGGTGGCGGCAACGCCAATGATCCGGAAGTGCACACGTGGCATTCGCGTGGACGTCGGACATGTGTGGCCCAGCGACGTTAGGATCGTTCGCGGATCGCTTTAGCAATCTCCAGAAGGGCGTTGCACATTATGAAGTACGCCTGGTTGGCCTTCACGTAGTGGTCCTTCTGCACTTCTAGCTCTCGCTCGAGAATGTCGCATTGCCTCGTCAGAATTGAGCACTGCCTCTTGCTCGCGCTGTCCACCGGCGCCGCCATCAGATTCCCGTGCTCCTTCATGACGTCCGCAATGGTGTCGAAGGTCTGTTGTCTTACATTCTTCCGTTTGCCGCACCCGCCAGCACCACCGCCGCTGAACGTTGAATCCCTCGTCGATTCCTGATCATCGTCCTGTCCATCCCCGCATCCGTCACTAGCGCCGGATTCGTTCCGACCTCCACGTGGGCCGGGCAATTGAACACCTCCAGCCGCACCCGTGTCCGTGAGATTCGTGGGGTGTATAGTGTGATCGTCCCTGGACATGGCCTTCATCTCCGAATACACACTCTCGTCCATCCGAAAATCGAACCCCCGCTCCTTCCTCTCCCGCGACGCTAGTGTGAATAAATCAGGCTTCCCAAATTCTCCCATGAACTTGTGCACGATTTTGAACTGCATGTACAGGTTGTCCCATTTTTTCCCGCAGTCCTCGGCCTTTCTACTCGCCACCCCCATCTACACGAGCCTCTTCTCGACGTCGGCCCACTTCCATGTCTTCGTCTTCATCCTTCCGATGTTGTGGACGAGGCCTGCCAGATGCAAATCCTGGTCTCTCTTAGCTCGGATCAGAGCGATCATGTGTTCCACCGTCCAAAAATCCCTGCTTTTTGCTCCCTCGCCCGCCGACGTATCTCCCGCACTCTTCTTGCCTCTCTGCCCCAAGCCCGGCTCAGTAAACTTGTTTGTGGCCCTTGGCCCTCCCCGTTTCTTCCCTACCGGACGAATCTCCATCTCCCCGTCGTTGTCCTCTTCGTTGTCATTGCTCCCGTCGCCTGCCGAGCAATCTTCACCCCCTGCACCATCGCAATCGCCGAGTGTATTGTCCGCCCCTACATTAATCTTCGCCACCCCTCTCGTTATGCCGGATGTGCTCGATTGACGCAATTGGTGCCGATAATCATCCCAAAGCTTTCGCCCCACGACCTCCGGAGTGGGGCCCTCATCGTCATCCCGTCGTCGGTCGATTGTGCCGGCTGGCGTCGTCGATCCACCTGTCCTCGTCCTCGACACGCCCACACCTGCTGTGCCCACTGCCCCCCGCCCTCGCGAAAGGAGTCCACGTTCGTCGCCCGACTGACCAGAACACCGGGCACGGGTGTTCGGAAGGCCCGACGGCCCCACCGAAGGCGGTGTGTGGTTAATGCCAGAAGCCGGCTTCACGAGAACGGTGTGCGTGACGTCCTGGCCACTCCTTGACCTCAAACCAAAGCTGAGATCTACGAGCCCTGCGTCATAACCAACCGGGGTCCGCCCCTCCAGCAGATCAGTCTACGTCGGCGTCGAGGCCTGTTTGTACAACTGGCTCCCCATCCGATCCTGCGTCGAACTGCTGCCCAGAGGAACCGTTGATGATCGGGGGTCGTCGCCGTCGTCGTCACTCGGAGGCAACGGAATCTTGTGGGATGGCAGGTAGCTGTACAGCGTTGGGTCGTATGGCCGCCTGCCGCCTTCCGCAGCGCTGCAACGCTGACGTGACGACCCCCCAGCCCCTACGGACAGTGTGCTCTTCGTCTGTAGCTTCTCCATCTTCCTGGCCGTCTTCGGCGTTCGCCACGTCTGTTTCCTCCCAGGGACGCGACCGAGGATGCAGATATGAAAGACGACAACGGCAAGCAGCAGCACAGCGACAAGCAGCAGCAAAGGCAGCCTGCGGCACAGGTCAGCCATGAAGGACAGGACACGCACTTGCGCTGTCGCAATCGCGGCGACCGGAGACACACGTTGCGCGAGGGAAGACGCCAACGTACGAAATTGCTGCAAGCACCCGCTGGGGGTGGACACTTAAAAAATCTGTATTTTCGACCGTTGGGTAGCCCGCGGGAACGCCACGATCCCTCCAGGAGCCGGCCGAAAATGTCTGATGCCCGCCAGGGCACCGCCGTGGGGCCGCCCGACGAACTGACAGGGCCGTACCACCAATCCCCGCCAACAGTAAAAAGACGAGGCCGTTGGTGGACGTTTTGGACGTCAGCGGCTTGCGATGTCCGTCTTCTGGCCGGTGGACCACCACTGGACCACCTTCGACCACCATTCTCCCTTCTGGACTCGCCGCCGACACCCCGATAATCACGGATCCTCGGGCTCCAAGGGACCTCACGAGGTCCCTTGGAGCCGAGGACGATTTGGCTGGGAAATCCTCGGAGCCCGAGGATTTGTCCTCAGTGTGTTTTCACATTTCTGTTCCGAAAATTGGCTCCGAGGACAGGTGGAACGACGACGGAATCCTCGGAATTGCGGCCCCGAGGAGTGTCGAACGACGCCCTGATTTCCAGTCCGAGTACATGTTGAAGAGAAGGCCGCCACCGTTCCATTAGCTCGCCATCCGCCACAGTCCGGGACAGCAACCACAGGGCATGTGGCGGCGGCGATGTAATGGAACCAAGAGCCGTTTTCTGCCAGAAAAATGCACTTTTCGGCCTCGCCAAGTCTCTCCACTGTTTGTGGTGGATGGCGAGTAGTGGAACGGGGCCCTAACGATGCAAGTCTGAAAGCTGCACAAAATACAGGCACCACGACTGGGACATCCGTGAAACTTTTTGAACGATACACAGAGAGAAGATTAGAATTGTCACTACCGCTGTATATAGTCTGAAAGTTGCACAAAATACAGGCATAATGACTGGGACATCTGCAGTGTTGAACTTTGATACGGAGAAAGAAGATTAGCATGGCCCAGGGTGATTTTCCACAAAAAAAATAAGGGGGAAGTATGTTTATGTCACATGCCATTGGGAGTTTGAAATGGGCACAAAAAACAGCCTTTTGCGACTGTGTCAGGGCCTGAGTTCGAAAAGGCGTTTGTAACTCAAGGCTGGCAGTGGTGTCAGGGCGGAGTTCGAAAAGGCGGTTGTGGTTTTTCTGTTTTTTTTTCCTCTTCGGTCGCAGCGCGCCGCGGCTGCAAGGAGTTTTTTTTTTTTTTTTTTTGTCGGTTACGGGGCGCCGCGCCGTGCCGCGGCTGAAAAAAAAAAAGAAAAAAAAAAAGAAGGTCGGCCCTGGTCGGGCCACGGCCGGGCCTTGTCCGATGTATGTTTGGAATATTACGACGAGGACG